GTAAGCATATGGTGGATATGCAGATAAGCATGCATCTCTGTCTCATCAATCTAAAGGCAGGGGTATCAATGGGATTTGGATCAAGCCCATTTGGGGAAATGTTTCTCTTTCCTCAAACATCTTTGGTCCTTCAAGATTCAGAATATAAACTCTGAAAGCATAAGACAAGGTTGGGTTTGGTTTTCTAAGATTTTTTATTTTAGAACAGTGGATTATAGTGAGGAAGAAGTAATATGGATAAATGGAGAGCACTAGAGGGGGACAGAGCCAAACAGTACATAAGCTTGTCTAGGCTACATATTGCAATGCCTAACCTCTAACTGAGGTGTTGACGTTCCCCTCTTCCTATCCACTCCTCCCAAGTAGAATCCAAAATCCAGAATTCCAAATTAGGGTTGGAATGAGGTAAATGCTCCAGAAGGCAATAAAAGCCAAGAGAATACACATGCTAAACTGCCTTGTACTTCCCAGTGGGAAATGCTATATCCAGGGGTTTGTGTGACGCAGCCTGCTAAGGAAGGTTCTCTCCTCAGTGATGAAATGCTAATTTTGAGTTACTGTCTAGCAGGTTTAGGCAATGACTCCCAGACACTCTGGCTGAATGAATGCTCCATTTTGTTCTTGGAGAGGCAGGTACCAGAGCTGTTTTTGCCATGGCTGTTTTGTGAAGGCTAATGAGTTTGGTGTGCTTCAGCCATTATTTAAACACAACTTTGAGATCAGACTCCTCAGCTTTGCTGTGTTTAATTTCAGGATCCTGCTGCAACTTAGATGTAAACTGAATAGTTCTGGTCAGGGGAGCTCCCAGCATGCACAGCAGGGGAAATACAGCTACTTGCTTAATTTAAAAGTCAAGAAAGAAGGGTCACAGAGATCTGGGGTAGGCCAGTCATTTTGCAAGGCTTCTGGGTGGCGTCTGTATGACCAGGCATCTAAAAGCATGTGTTTTTTTTCTATGGGCATATGTTCATATGCACATATGTATGCGTGTATATATTTTTGTATATATCTACACAAAAACATATTCAACAGTTCCAAAACATAGCCCTGAACACTGGAAGTCAACAACTTGTCAAACTGTTATCAGAACAGTCCATGGTGTAGTTTTGACCTGTGTCAATCAATATTCTCCTAAACAATTTCGAGACATGATTCAGGATTAAACACAAGCCCAGGGGCCATTACCCACATAAGTGTGAACTGCATATTTTGTTTGGATGTGGTGGTCTCATATTGGGAATGTAATCATAGTCCAGTGGCTGCCTAAGTATTGTTTAGTTCTTTTGTCTTTTCTTTTTAATTCGTTTTTGAAGGTCATCACAACAAAGTACTCTAGAAAAAGAGGCAGCACTGCAATAGAGGGACAATTTAGGACTAATCAGGGAGCAGCTTCTTTTGATATCAAGTGTGTGGAAGGGGAATAGAATTGTGAACACAGCAGAGACAGGAACAGATCTTTCAATTCTAATTTGGAGCTGAGAAATATCTTTACGAAGGCCTCTGAAAACAAAGATGGGGAGAAGTAGATAAATTGTGCTGGAGTTTAGAAAGCAGCAACTTGTAACTCTGAAGGAAGAAGATACTAATTTTTTCTTTTTTTTTGGGTTGTTTAGAAGGGAGGAGATTGCTTTAAATGAAAATACACTATACACATAAAACCAATCTGCAGAATGGCCAAGTTTGTGCTTGTGTCTGTCAGCAGATCCCACAGCTCTAAAGAAAGGAAACTTATAAAAGTACTTCCTGAGTTGGGGTGCCTTTGTTGGCAGTGATAATGATACAGGATGTAGGAAGACAGAATTTGCATGAAGACTTTTAATTAAAACCAAATGCATATTTATAATTATTTCCTGAACTTCATGGTAACCTATAATTTTATTTTTTTCATCAGTGAAATAAAGGAAAAGATGGATTTTGTTTACTAATTTGACTAAATAATTTTCACCCTTACTCTGATTTACCCATGTTGTTTAAATTTGAACGGTATGTTTTAGCCTTACACTGGTTTTGTACAAAGGAAGAGGTTGGGTGTTCATTTTGGGAACACTTCTAATTTCACTCAATTTGCATTTGATTTTATATGTAACCTCTCACTTTCTACTCTACATCTTTTCAGAGATATAAACAAGGTGACAGATTTTTTAAAGCACTTAGTGCCTTTTACTATCTATTGACACCAAGTACTGTGCAGGGCGGAGTCCTAGGAAGACAAGTGTCATCTTGTAGTCAGCTGAAATAGCAAATAGAATTTTGTTAGGATTAAAAAAAAAAGTTTTTTGGGCTGAACCCAGCTGTTTTTGTGAAAAAGGACACTCTGCTCCAATGCCTTCCAACTTGGAGTTTGTCATAGCTCAGGGGAAAGCATGCTGTTTGCTGGAACAACAGTATATGTCAAGGCACAAATATATGCTACATCTTCTGTAATGTAAAGGCTTCTGAAAAGGTCTCCCATTTAGATATTGATCGGACCAGCTGCTGCTAAAACAAATAATTGTGACATGGTCATTATCTTGGGTCATAGGGCTGTGGTCAAAACAGAAGCACTGCAATGGGAAAAGAGAGGAAAAGAAAAATCTGCAGTACAAAACATGATTTTTATCCAATGTCTTCCCCTTCTCCCCAAAGTCCCCAAATCAGCTCTTCCCCAGGAATGTAAAGTTTTAAAGTAATGAGCAGATGTAAGAACTTGACGTCACCTTAGCTGAATGAAATGAAATAGAAGGTCTGTCTTTATGTAATGAAATCAAGGCAGACAGCAATAGGAAGCAGATTATTGAATAATAAGGTCACAGTTTGTGCTGGGGAGCATTCATGCTTTGTACAGAGGCTTCTATCCTTCCTATAGCAATATAAAGGATTTTTTTACACCTTGGTGTCCAGGGAGTTTCTCATTGTGTGTTAGAAGAAATGGTAAACATAAATTAACAGAGTTTACCAAATTTTATTTTCTATTCCATGATATGGGTGAAGACAGTAAAAATCCTCTCTCTGAATTAAGAGAGGCTATGAACATAAATAGACATTATTTTTAATTATTTAGTGATAAGACAAATTATCACAGTCCTGAGAAAGAGGACTCCAAGGCACATTTTGACTCAAATATTCTCTGAAGAAAAAGTTTGCTAGGGTACCAAGACAGTACTCTGCTCCAGACATTTTCATTGCATAGCCAGTTGCACTGTTGGTTGCCAGCAAACTCACAAGTTGTTGCACGGGAGTATAGGTTTTATCTGCAGTTCCTCAAACGTATGCTCAAGGTGTTGAGTGTCTATGAAGTACCTGTCAGGACCTGAAAATCAGCCATAAAGGGTATCTGGGATCACAATTCTATTTCTCAGCATTCCCTTCAGCAACTACGTTATATTTAGCCATAACCTAACCCTTGGTATGTGTTTAGACACCTGTTCATAACCATACATTTTTTTATTGAGGAGAATATTGAGTGAATCATTCTATGATTCTGTGATATTTGTATATGCATGTATGTGTATCTACCTGAATGGATAAGGATTTTTATCATCAAGTAGAGACATCTAAGTTTCAGTTCTTCTCACTCTAAGCTCATTATATAGCTAATAGAGAAAAATAAACACCTCAGACAGTGATTTAATACACCTAAAATGTGAATCACCCCTTGAAAGTACATCTCCACTGGCTAGAAAGACCTTAAGATGAATAAGGTTATGTACCCAGAGTATGAATCTCTCCTGACTGCCTTCTTCCTGTTAAACTTTTATTTCAATAAAGAGAAATAATTTTTCCAGTTCTCAAAACTTGCGCAATTTCAGAAAAAAACCCCTCTCATCCCAAATCAAACAAAACTAGAAAAAAAAAAAATCAAAGTGGTAAAAAAAAAAAAGCAACCATACAAATGACCACAGCTTAAGCAAACTGAAATGTTTGTTTAATGTTCAGTTTTTAATAAAAACATTAAAACATAATTAACTTACATTTTGAAAAAAATGAGTGTTCAAAATAAATTAAAAATCTAAACTAAACATTAAGGTATCCTTGAAATATTTTTCTCAAAGTATATTTTGTCTTTTAAAACTGACCTTTTCTTGTGGAAAGTTTCACTCTGTATCACCTCCTACACCATTTTTTAAAAATAAAAAAATTCCTGACCAGAGTCTACTTCTAGTAATTTATTTTACTTTGGCTGTACTGTGATATTTCTATTCTCTGCATTTTTTCCTGTTTTCATTGTAATGTTTGTGAAATTATCAATTCTGTAAAGGTTTATATGTAATCATATATTATGAGACAGTTTCCCAAAATGAGATATAGAGCAGCAGCTTCCAACTATTGATGTGTAAATGTTTACTTTATTTAAGAGTTTAATACTTCTGCACAGGCCTTTGGGAGCCATTCCCACCTGACTTTGTGAAGATGCATATGTTCCAGGCATTACAGTCAGGACAGCATATCTGTGTGTAGAAAAGTGTTGGGGTGGAAAGGCAAGAGCCACCATAGCAGCGGTCGTTGCTGCTCTGGCAAGAGGTGGCTAATGTTGGTTATTTCCCTGTGCTCTTGGTGGGGCTGGTGGAGTCTGAGAGTGGGAAAGCCGTGGTGGTGGGCAGGAGGGAGTTCTGGGCTGCGGGAGCCGAGGAAGGAAGCAAACTCTGACGTGTGCGTGCTGGTACGAGAGTGAGGTGGGAGTGCGGAGGTAGGATGTGCATTTGGGGATTTGCTGGGGGGATTTGGAGAAAGAGAGTTGAGTCATGGCTGCTTCTGCGCTTTCACTAGTTTGGCACAGAATGGGCACCTACAGCCACAGGTTGTATTCAGGGTTCCTTTTGCCACCTCTGATGGGTATATATACAGATGAAACTAGAGATGTAGAGAATGCAAATTTAAGAAAGATTATAAACTCCTTGACATTTCAAATAAGAACCAAATATGACATTATTTTAATCAAAGGTATGAAGTGGCCTTATGCATCACATCTGTAATTTGAAGAGATAACCTTTAATTTGCATCTGCATTTTGATCTATTTCAGATACAAAGCAATTGTAAATCCCATGGACATCCAGACCTCCAGTGCAGTGATATGGACCTGTCTGAAAGCCATTGCCATCTGGGTAATCTCCATGCTCCTAGCAGTTCCTGAAGCAGTGTTCTCCGAACTGGCCCACATCAATGACACGGATAATGCCACTTTCACTGCATGCATACCATACCCCATGACGGACGACATGCACCCAAAAATCCATTCTGTGCTGATTTTCCTTGTGTATTTCCTTATCCCTCTTGCCATTATTAGTATCTACTACTATCATATTGCAAAGAGTTTAATAAAAAGTGCTCACAACATCCCTGGAGAATACAGTGAGCATTGCAAAAGACAGGTAAGCAAATTGCTTTTTACATCCTGATGAAAGATTTGTGTGCTGCATACGCTTATAAATGAAAGTGCAGGAACTATAACACCCAATTTGTTGGATTTTGCAGACGATTAATTCAGTTTCCACCTGCATCAACTAAGCCAAGGATAACCTGAAAAACCTCCTTGTTTACACAATTACTCAGATTGAAGCCCACTATGTAAATGAATATGAGCAAGGAAAAACATAAATTCAATGCCATCAATGCATATTCCTGATAAGAAGTGGGATTGGTGTAGCTGTATGTATTGTTACTGTAGCCATTACTTGTATTCTTACTGAGGAACAATGTTTTTGTAGTTAGTGCTAGTGGCTTCACATGTCTCTATAGGCAGCCATTTTGGGAAGAAATCTTACCTGAACTTTTTAAGAATTTTCCCTGTTTCATTTGGGCTTGGAAATTAAAAAACTTGACATAGGCAGGGAAAAATTTTCATAGGGGATCTAAGGTTCTTCTCAGACTAAGAAGCGCTGAAAATATGAACGCAGAACATGAACTGATTGTTCTCTGGCTTTCTCAGTAGATCTTTCCTGGATACAATCCTGAACTTATACTTTTCTAATATCTTTTCTACTATAGATGCTATAAAACTTCCAGTATAGGTTCTGTATACCTTTGAGACAAAGCATTTTAACATGCTGGACAAAGCCAGCTTCTCTGTAAGGCACAGGAAGCAATAAGATAGCAACAGGATGTTCATTAGCAGGAACATTTATGTATACAAACAACAACTTTTTCAGTGAAAGTGCCTCAATCACTTTACAAAAGCATTAGTATTGATAGAGAAAAATGCTTGTGCTCAATTATCTGCCAGTACTTTAGAAAATACTTTTATACTCACCAAAATCTTCTTGCCTATATAGCATGTACATATTTCTTTTAAAAACAAAGACCACATTCCCTCATGTCCTTTTTGCTCAGCATTTCATTTCTACTCCAGCCTGTTTCTTGTAAAAAATGCATACATATTAGCACTTCATGTATTATTTTATTTTCCTGTGAAATATAGAGAGCCTTTTGGCTGAACCCTCAGGATGGAAACAATATTTAATTTGTATCACATTTCTGAATCCACATGTATTTTCAAAGTAAGAACATATTTTTTTCATTCTAGTTAGTTTTTTTTTTCTTTTTGTTAATCTATGAGGCTAGAAGAATAGAAACTTCCAGTGTACTTACATATCTCCCAGCAGGAAGAATAAATTCAGACTATTGTTATCAACTCACTTTTCTTTAGGCTATAGCACAAAAGTGTAATATTCACACTATACTTCTGCACCTCTTAGTATGCCTTTGCAATCTCAGTGCAAATCCTACCAAATTGGAATGTTAGAGTTTTGCCGTCTTTTGTGAATTCCCCACTGGTTTTGGTTTAGATAGAGCCAAGAAGAGTACTTACAGATTTGTTTCACAGATTTTGAAACCTTATTAGAATAAATTCACTTTATTTTTTTTCAGAAGATTCAGCAAAGCCATAAAATTTTCATGCCTTTGCAAAACTTTGGTGCCTGATACACATAATAAATCTTTTGGGAGGGATATGTAAAAACTTTCTTCCTCCTTTTGGTGCCTTCTACCTGGCTGGTTTCTCTCCCTCCCTCAGTTTGGAACCAATGTGTAGGCTTATTTCCTGTCAACTTTTCAGCCACTCTTGATATCTACATTGTAATCCATTAGCACCACAATTTAGGTACATTTCTTTCATGTCATTATTGAAGATTAACTGAACCTTTCATTTTACCCTGGAATTAAGATGCTTCATACCGTGAAATGCAGATTTAGCAGTTTGTCTAGGAGGGAGGTGCAAGCTGAGGCATTTCGGGCGAAAGAATGGGATGTAGGTACAATTGTATAGCTAACACCCTAGCAATGTCTCTATATTTCACTCACAATGTCTCTGGATTTCAAAGCCAACGGTTTCTAAATAGCTTTCTAATGAAAGCTAAGTTTCAAGCCAAGCGCTGAGATCTCATCAGAAAAGGTTATGTTTCATGACATCCTTTGGCGCATGCTTTCAGCCTAAAAGCCAATGTTTACTTGGGTCATGAATCACTCTTGCTGTGTATATCACATAAAAAGAGCAACCTTCTGTAACTGCAAACAGCTAGGATGTTTTGCTGGAAGTAAACTGAAGGTGGGAAAGGAAAGTAAATGGGATTGGAAAAGTAATTCAGCGCCTGAAGGAAGCATTTTTACTGGCCTTTCTTATGATAGTTGTTAAAGCTGATATAAAGTGAAATGCTACATGTTTTAATTAAATGTTATGTGGAGTAGTTCTATTCGTTGTTGTTCATTTGGGTTCTCTTCATCTTTTTAGATGGAAACTCGTAAACGACTGGCAAAAATTGTTCTAGTTTTTGTTGGCTTCTTTGCTATCTGCTGGTTTCCTAACCACGTGCTATACATGTACCGATCTTTTAAGCACAATGAGATTGATCCGTCGACAGGACATATGGTTCTTACCTTAGTGGCCCGAGTGTTAAGCTTCTGCAACTCTTGTGTCAACCCATTTGCACTGTATTTTCTCAGTGAGAGTTTTAGAAGACATTTCAACAACCAGCTTCGCTGCAGGAGGAAAGCTCAGCAAGAGAGATCTGCCAGCTACTTGCGCAACTCTTCTGCCATTCAAATGGCTTCCCTGAAAAGCAATACCAGGAACACAGTGACGAGCATGACACAAATGAATGGGCACAACTTGAAACAAGAGATGTCATTATGATTTAATAGGTGTGATTTTTGACTGTGGAACATATTTGAACTTTGCAGTTTGTAACTCACTTTTGGCTCTCATATGCTTAGACTGTCTGAGTCCTCAGAACAGAGGGTCTGTTAAAGTCTGGCCAATCTGAGGTTGTTTCACACCTAGTCTTACTTTTATATAGAAGTGAAGAGTATGTTTTATTGAGAACACTGACCGGTTTCATATTGTACTTTAAAGGACATGCTAATATATGTTTAACATACAAGAAAGCAAAATAATGGTTTGAATATTTGAGTAGCTCATCTAACATTGCTTTAAAAAGCATAGATTTTCTGATCTGCAAAATATATATTTTTAACTGTATATTGATACAGGCGTATGTCTTACTCTAATGGATTTTGATGATTTTAGCTGTGCTGTGTGTATAAGCATTGTTCATTAAGACTGGTAGGCATTTTCTGAGCCAATTACGGATCCATTGCAATGCATAAATTCTAGTTTCAGATAAAAAATATTCAAGTATCAAGTGCCAGATCTTTACCTCATTTAGATCTACTTTGTTTTCTCACTTTGGCAGAGATACACGATGAGAATTTAGTTTTTGGGGTTCTGTTTGCTGTTAAGGTCAAAAGTTTATCTGCTAAAATTACATTTTTTAGTGATTACATCTCAAAAGAAAAATGTTGCGTGCAATGTGCAGATTTTCTAGAACTCAGCGAAAGCTCATTTCTCTGATTTGTTTAAGTCTATGCCATCTTTGTTTTAGAGTGTCTACATGCTTTATACTTGCTACTACTAACTGATCAATACACAGCTAAGAAGGATGCTAAGTGTTATGGAGTGACTGAACATTCAAAGAGGTAAAGTTCTGAGTGGCATTTTCAGAGAGGGTCTGTGGCAAGGCTTCATACAGCTCAGAGCAATGTCAGAGTGCAGAACCCACATTACTACCAGAACAAACCAAACTGAAGGAAGCCCTGCAGGAACACACCTAATATACTCTCATCACTAATGATCATCCAGCCCATGGGAACAAACAAGTTCTAGTCCAAAATAGCACTCAGGTGATGAAACATGGGTATCTGACATTTGTTGCTTGGTACCAGCTGTTTGCTATCTAGATCTACTGTTCTTGCACACACTTTACCAGTCTAAACAAAGCCTAAGTAGTGTTGAAAATCTCAGCTTTAAAAGATACTTTTTCTTTTCCTGAAGGCCCTTGTGCATAAATAGTCAATGCACTTCTCAAAATCCTAGCTGGGCTGCTTAAAAGAAGGATTTAAAATATTTTTTGTGAGTCATCCCAGTGCCATGACAGTGCACAGGTCTTTGTCAGTATTCCCACGAGGGCATTTTCAAGTTATGCCGTCAGTGCAGAGCTGGGATTAAAGCAGCAGGGAATGGAGGGTGAAGCTGTAGTTACCAATTGCCATCCTGTCCAGAATAAATTTTCCAGTAGAGTTTACTGCTCTCTCTTTTCATAACTTATGCAAAGCTTGCATAAGTTATAAGCTTGTTATAAGCTTGTTGCTGCAAAAACTCATGTAAGGCTACCCATATAAAAGTTTCTAATCTGTCTCAGAGTTGAACCAGATCTTGCTGAAAGAGCTGATGGGGTGAGAGCTGACTCTGTTGTACAGCTGCATGCTGTCAGACTAATAACCATTCCCCAAGCCAGGTGAGAGGTTATCTGGGGCATGGTCCGTTTTGGGTCTGAGCTCCGGAGAAGAGATGCTCACAATGTCCTTCTTAGTAGAAGGGTCAGTAATGGCAGATAATGGCACTTTGTGAAATTAGTTTTTTATGACGAGTTCATAAGCCAAATGTAATTTTAAACAGCCTTTTCTTTCAAATTGAGTGGAACTGCTCCAGCACAGATCTGTCTCTATCACAATACTGTAGCCTGTATTTCTGCAGTGACTTCTCTAATGTGAATAGTAGAAAGGACCCTAGAAATTGAGATTAGATTTCAGAATTAGTTGCCAGTTTTATAATTTCAAGAGCTAAAGTGCTAATGTAGTGTATAAGCTTACAGTTCTTTTTGTCCTTATTAAGGACAAGAAGGAGTTACAATTTGCCTGGGAATATCTTCCACGCACAACAAAAAAGAACAAGCTATAACTTGCAGTTCTGCCAGAAGGCAGACTCTTGCTGCTATTTAGTTCTATTTATAACTCCGTGAAACCAGCTGAAGTTCAAAATGTCTTTTGCAATTTCCCTGCATTTAAGGTTAGTTATACCCCTACTTCAATTTTTAAAGCAACAGGAAGGTATATTGATGTAATCTATAAATAATTTTAGCTAATTATGTGAAAAAAATCCCCAATTATTATCACTCAACAGGAAAAGTAACAGGTTGAAGGTCTGAATGTCTATTAGCATGTCCAGCTGAGGTGAGACCTGTAGTATGTAATGTAGCCAAATTTGTGTGCAGCATTCAAATGAGAAAATTTATGAAGTTTAGTGTAGACCAGCTCCATACTGTCTGCACTAGCTGACTGCAGTGGCTCTGTGGCTCCAGTGGCTCCTTGGAAAACTTTACACGACGGTGCAGATTTACATGAACTTGTAAATCTATTTGTGATACTTTAGGAAATTGTTATCCATAACTGCCTAACACTGCCTCATCCTCCCTTTTCTCCATTTCACTTCTTCTCTCTCTCCATGCCTTAATTCCATGTTAGCACACATGTTGTCAGAACTCCTCTTTAATTTTATGCCACTAATTTTTCCTGCATGTTAGCTACAGTTTTGGATTCTTCTGTTCAGTCTTGGATCATTTTTACTCACAGATATTTTACACTCACAAAACACAAAATCTTAAAGTCTTCCTTTCTCAGTGATGATTGTTGTCTGTGATTGTTTCCCTTTTATTTCTGCATTTTTTTTTCTGGTTCCCTGTGTCTCATTTTATTTGGCAATCTCTCTACACAGCATAACATTTCGTAGGACTTCTAAATCCATTGTATTTTTTACTCCCTGAAGGCACTTGTCTGATGTGGACATTACCAGATGATACAGGTACCCTACCAGAAAAATAATAATCTAATTTATAGTAGATTTGATTCCTGTGTTTGATTCATACTCTTCACTCAATGTCTTAAATTGCTATGTGTGGTATGGACAGCATGAGTCTGCCTTCTGGCAGAACTGCAAGTTATAGCTTGTTCTTTTTTGTTGTGCGTGGAAGATATTCCCAGGCAAATTGTAACTCCTTCTTGTCAGGAAGTCAGCATAATTTTGGTTCATTATTTCTCAGGCCTAACACTCAAAGCCTGTTTTGAGTATGTAACCTAAATTGTATATGCCTCCTCCCAGATTCTTGTAGCATGGTGTGGGGAAATCAGTTAATCTGCCTGGAGCCTTACTAGGTGTATTGCTAACCCAATATACACATTTTGGAAGTGTCTGTTACTGTGCTTTCGTACACATTGTATACAAGTACAGCTGTATGTATGATGTTATTTCCAGACAACACTGCTTGCTAACAATTAAAAAAAATGATTGTAAAATGCATTATATGAAGTATTTCCTTCTAACTGTAGTAAAAAACCCAACGGATATCTGTAAATGAGGTCACGCCAGCTTTTCAGGTGTGAAAAGATCTATGCCAAAACAGTTGTTAAAATACCACCTGATTCTTTTTTCTGTTATAAAAACTTTTTTATTTCATAAATATCAGTTCTTGCCTATCTTCCACTCCTGAGTTTTTAGATGGTCTCTTTCAAAAAATTTTTGCAATGAATGAGAAAACTACCATCCCTTCTCACAGTCTTTGAAAAATGAGAGAACAGAGGTAATTACATTTTCCTCTATGTAAGACTTTTTTTTTTTTTTTTTTTTTTTTTTTTTTTTAGACTAGAGCTAGTACAAAATAACTCTGATAGCATCTTGTTCCTCCACCCTGGCTGTAATAGAAACATTCCAATGGTGAATCCTGAAATGTCAGTATGGCTGAATTCTCAACAGACCTGATGTACCTCATTTAGCATTACACTGTGAAGAGGTAATTGTCTTCAACAAAGCCACTTTGTTTACAATACAGAACAATATCTTTACTTTCTGCAACAGACCTGCTCCATAGATATTTTTCTTAACTCAGTCAAAACAGTTTCACAGAAATACAAACACAGGGAGAGTCAATTTGGGAGTAGGAAAGAAAAATGCTTTCTCATAGTTTAAATGGACTCATATTAAGCTGAAGATTTGCAGTGTTGATTTCCAGTACCATTTCTTTCTTCACTTATTTCTGAAACATGAGTCTATTGCAAAATAGTCAGCCTCACAAGATCACTGCATGCCTTTGAAAATCCACCTGCATGTTTGTAGTACTTGTAACAATCACAGGGCTCTGCGTGGATGCTCAGTGTTGCCTGCTGCTGGCTTTCCTCTTTCTGATACTGTGATGAGTCTTCTCATTCTCCTGCCTGAAAAAGGCTAGAGGGGCCCCATCCACTGTGCCAGAGCAGGATAGACCAAAAAGATATATCTTCAAATGCTCTCTGCTGGCTGAAAGATTGCCAACATGACTGCATTTTGGCAAACACAGTCTGGAAGCATAAAATTTTTAATAAGTTAGGGGTCCCTTGGAATCTGGATGACAGAGAAGGACATTTGAAAATGTACATGCTCTAGCTCAAGAGCTGTAGCTTCCCAAAGAGATAGAAAGCTTTATACTTCAAGCTATGGAAATATACAACAAAGGTAGAACCAAGTACATTTCACAAGTACATTTAGACACTTCTGGGATTGGTTCTGGTCCAATGGAATGAAGGGCAAAGTCTGACTGAAAACCTGAGTCCATGCTTTACGCGACAGCACACTTTGCAGATGCTAAACTGGCAGATTGGCACCAAAAGTATATTGCCTAGCCACATCTGCTTTTGATTTCTGATTTGATTTAGACAATCGTCTAATTCAGTTTTGACAAGTTGCTTTAATTTCTAATTGTTTCTGACTTATTTCTGACTCCCCATTCTACTGCTATCTTGGAGACTAGCAAGAATGCAAAAGAATTCTGTTTGCTTTCAATGAACATCTGTTAATGACTTTTATGGCCTAAGTCAGTAGGAAAATGGCAATATACTGGAGCCAAAAATGTTATATTTGTTTTTCTTTTCTCTATCTTTTAGGGGGTATAGTTGACGTTGTTTAGTGTATGAGGTAAATTAAAGAAGTTTAGATTTTGGATTACAATGTGATACACTTAGTAAAGTTCTATAGCACTGATTTTGAACAGAGTATGTATGATACGTGGCCATACTTTACTAATCTAGGGAAATCATTTTAATCTGTCAGGAGGGAGGTTTTGTTACTTCATTCTTTAAAGGGGAGTCATTTGTGAGTCAGCAGCTCTGTGTCATTACTGGCTTAATACACTGTGGATTCACCTTGTAGCTCATGTTTGATTCATAAAAGACAGTTCTATCAAGTGAACACAAGAAGATATTGATGTCATCTCTCTTCCAGGAGGGATGGTACCTTAGCTTAGTTGGTTTAACCCTTCATGGTTCTGAGCTGCTCCATGAACCAGTCTGTATTACAGCTGCTCAGTGCCAATAGACTGTGTTTCCCATGCGTCTCCAACTGTCTACCTCCAGCAGACTCACTGTGTGGAGATGGGCTTCAACTTTCTGCCCTATCTCCCATAAAGCTGGAGGGTCCTCCATCTACATGGCAATCAAGACAAGATTGCTGACATCAGCAATTTTGCAAGACCTTGTTCTACAGCAGACAGCCCTTTCAGCATTTTTACCATGTAGTGCTTACCTGCGTGCCACATAAGGTCCTTCTCATGTCAGTCCTTTCAGCATCTTCTCATTCCAAGGCAAAAGCATATAGCAGCTAGCTTCTCACAGTATCTGGGAATTGAAAAGGCAGAACAGGTAAAGGATGAAAGGGAGATGTTTCAGCTGTATCCTATGTCTGCTTGTCCCCTCTCTATATGCATAAGGGGAAAACAGCTTCACTGCAGGTAAACACCTCTGGATGTAGCTGACTGATCCATCTGAACTGCTAACAAAAATGTCATGTATATTTTAGGCATAAAAGGCAAGTTCCTGAGAGCCCCGTGTGTCTTCTCTCCATGCACTGTGACTGTCATTCCTCTCACTTCAAACCCCATACTTACATGAAACCTATAAGACCATCCCAAGATTTGTCTCCTGTTGCCAAAATTCTTTGCAGCATCTGGCTGTAAACAACTGGCTGGAAACAACTAGCCTGGACAACTAGCTGTTGTCTGAGTGCTGTGACTATTGTTGTCAGAGCACCCCTATTCCCAGTGGTCCATACTGCCTCTTGGCCTTTTTGTGACACTC